GATCTCATGGAGGCAGGATGAATTGTGCTCCTTTGAGGCAAGAGTGCAGCATTTATTTCTTTTTGGACAAAATTACCCAGGCTGGTGTGAGATGCAGGCAGTGACCTTTCCCAAGCACTGCTCAGGGATTACAGCTCTGAAACAATGCCTTCTGCTCTAATCCATATAAGCAGTCTTTCCTCGCTCCAGCTGAGGTCGGTGGCCTTCTCTAACTACGGGGACTGTTGGTCTCAACCCAAAAGGAGATAACACGTGCAGCTCTGCCATTTGGAAATGGATTTGAGACCAATACTCATTGCTAATAGGCAATGAATAGTTTCTAATTTAGATATCACCTGCAAGAAAAATAAATAAGTATTTGGCTGCAACACTTTTTAAAGTAGCAGCAGCAAAGCTAAGCTCTTTGTTTCTTCTGACACAATGGGTGAACAAACCTAGTTAAATCATATTGGGACAAATTCTCTTTTGAAAGCTTGTCAGTTATTATGAGTTATATAGGAATATTTGCACTGGAAATTTTCATTAGTTACAGCCCTTAAAGGCCAACAGTATATGACACAGCTCTGCTCTAGGATGATCAGTATTTTGGAAGTTTGTAATTTACAAAAGATGTTAATGTGTTTGGAAGTATTCTCATTATGTGAATATGGATTGCCTCTTGAATTTCTCTTTTTCATTGCAAAAATACTTTAACTGCTCTTACTATACAGTAGTAATCCAAGCTGTACTATGCTATCAACCCTCCTTTTCGTGCTCTTCCTCGCACTTCCTCTTCTTGCAACCTTTAAGTTTGTCCAGAGCATGAATGAAACCTACTGGCTTCAGTGACAGTTCACTTCACCTTGGCCAGTTCTAGGACACAAGAGCTGGTTCTCTGAACCCAGCATGGAAAGGCACGTGTGCAGAGCTGACAAGCATCAGGGAAGGCTGAGGTGCAGGCGATGCACCCAGTAGGAGCACAATTCCCTGAAACCTCAACTCCCCGGCTGGCGGTGGCTGTTCCCAGGTGCTCCTCTTGCTACAGCCCTGAGCACGACTGTCTGGTTTCTGACACAAGCTGAAAGTCTGCAAAAGCAACAGGAGCAACAGTGCCCAGGCATTCAGCGACATGCTCAGCAAGGTGAAATCATGTGATACGGTTTGTTTTGATTCAGATGCCGTACAACTCTTAAATTTTTCCCATTGGCTTTACCTCAAGATAATTGCTGAGATACTATTAACAGCTATAATAATTAGCCCACTAGAAATCTATAGATGTATAAGTAGCAGGAAGAGTGAAGTGTGAGATGTCAATCCAGTGGGTTGTAGAGAAAACAATCGTATGTTAAAGTCATGTTTTTAAATGCTTGAATAAATAAAGCAAGATTAATGGTCACTGATGTTCTGGCTGATAAAAGTCAATTTGTGGGACTGATAGAAACAAAGCAGTGGTAATTTTACAATTAAGTCAAAAGTGGAATAAATGAACGTGCAAGTTATGAGTGTATATGTTAAAGAACTGGCTGCTAAAAATTAATTTAATATTTTTAAAATATCTGATGTAGATAGCTTTTCAAGGCGCATTCATACTGCAAAGTATTTGTCTTGGCTCATTTGTTCTTTGGCCTGCAGGAAGGAGCTTATTCTCTTCTAATATTTCTAATACATATACATAAAATCTGAGTCATATTGGTCCTCTAGAATGCAATTCTGTACTATTTCCAATGGGGAAAGAAAGATTTACTGAACAGTAGAACACTTGGCATAGAAACTATATAGAGTGATTATGAAATTATTAAGAAACCTTTAACAGGAGATTACCACTTTTCTACCATATTACCGAGCCATTTCTACTAATTCAAAAATGGCACATGTTTTGCCTTACCAGCCTATCCAAACTTGTGCCAGCAGCAGTTGTAGGTCGCTCCTCCGGGTTATATGGTCTAAACCGGGTATTGAAGTTCTCAGGGACAGAACGAGAAGATCTCAGTGCAGGTGCTGGTTTAGGCTGGCCACATCCTTGGAAAACCTGGAAAAAATATTGTAGGTTGTATGACAGTCACAGAATAAGAGAGGCTGATATTTTACAGAGGTATTCTCTATTTCACACATTTGAAACTTTAGCTTTGATTGACAATCTGTTAATAGTGAATTGAGCACTCTCTCTGTATTAAAACTCAGATTAATAATTAAGCATTATTAATTACTCAGTGCAAGTATAGCACTATACAGGGACCGTAAAAACACTTAAATCAGTTCAGGAAGGTGGTTGTACTAAGTTAACACCTGAAAGCATTTTAATTGCTATCTGCTCAGGAAGAGAAATGAACAAAAGGAAGTCCTTTGTGGCAGGACTCAGTTGATAATTGTTTCAGATTTTGTTAAAAGGGGTATTTCTCCAGAATCATAGCTCATTCAGAATCCCTGTCCACGGCTATCCCTGCCTAGCAATCTTGTTTGTAGTCTCAGAGAAAAGGTCAATAGTGAAATAGTCTTATAACTGGATTACTTTCTTATTCCCTAGCAGGCCTTTCTCCAGATGAGGGTTGAGGCATATAGAGTGGGCAATAGTGAGAGTTATTTTCTGCTAGTGTGTTTGTTTTCTAGGTATAAAAATAATTTTCAGGGTTATGAAATTTTTCATATACTCCTGTTTGGAAAAAAGTTTCAGTAGCATATATATTGGGCATACTAAAGGACACAGAGGACACATCTGACTACTGGATATCAGGCATAAATCTCAGAGAAGCTCTTACAGAAGCTGCTCTGTTGAAGGGAGGTAGAATATTCACAGAATTAAATTTTTTAAATGCTCTGATGGAGAAGGATCCTGCTGTTTGCTTTCATACCGACTTTTTCACTTCTGGAATTATCTTTTGTTTTTTGTGAGCATATTTCGTCTGCTTCAACATTTTGCCTCCTTTGAGAATGAAAAAAAATTAAACTTCAGAATTTCCTGTAAGATATTTTTTACTAAACTCTAATATCAAATACTGACTATTGGCCCAGATGAATTTTGTCGTGGTGCAAATGCTGTGCATTATTGGTGGGACCAGAGTACTCCTTTTTTGTACAGCAAATAAGAAGGTAGCTATGTTTTGAGCCAATGATCCCCAAGGCTCCTGTCTCACTTTTAGGCAATTTTCTGCCCTGAGTGGTTCTCTCCTGAAGTAGGTATGGATATCATGACTTTTGTTGCTTTCAGCATTCATTACAATTAGCTCTTGGCTAGGTTTCCTGATATTAGTTTAGAGGCCTCAAAAGATTCAAAATTTGTTGAAAGAAACTGACTTATGCTAAATTTATATCCAGTCATCACGTCTGTTTTGGCTCCAAGTCCAGCAAGTCAGCTGTTGTATGGCTGTTGGGATCTGTAATTTATGCATGAAACATTGCTTAGCCTGTTTTGAGACCATCTATCTGTAAGATTTTCTGAATAGCTTTTAGCCTCCCGAATCATGAGGATAATTGGACAATAAATTAATTTAACCAACTAGGAAAGATGATTAGAGTTTGAAAAGTTCTAAATTTTTTTAGAAATTTAGGCCATAATCAATATTCAGAATTTACAGAGGATTATGAGAAATACTATACACTTTTAAGGGCCAAATATATGTGCTGAGGGCATCAGTTGTACTTACAATAATATACTCATTTCTTTTGATTGAAGATAAATTATGAGCAGAAAACATAACTGTTTATTTAGATAGCTACGAAATCTCCTTTAGTCATTTAAGCATTCAGGTACCTGCTTACAAATACAAGTGGCAGTTAGTCAAAATATGGGACCTGGCTCTCAGGGTAAGGGAAAATGAGGACACTGAAATGCTCTCCTTAAATTTCACAGTGTGTGTGACAGTTAGGCTACCTTTATGACCATGCAGAGAAACTATGAGTCTGAATAATTTATATTTTACTTTTCTTGTGGCATACTGAAAATAAAACAGCATAGAATATGTGGCATTTAGATACATATAAATAGTCATACAAATAGTTGTTACTTGTAGCATAAGAGTTTTGTATGAATAAAATTACACACAACCAGGAAATAATAGAGGTGGAAATTAAATGGTCATTTTTACATTAGGGGAGAAGGAATAATTTACTTTCAAAGTGAGCTAGCAGAAATGCTGTAAGGATAAGCTATTCAGTAACTATATTTGCAGTGCAAAAGAGACAATTTCTAATTTGCCTCCAGGTATTAACTGACAGAATACAAAACGTAAAACTGATACCTGAAATTAACAAATACTTTCTAAGAAAACACACATGAAATATTTTCCTTAGTGAGATATTCAGAGATACTTACCAATTTCAGGAAAAATATTTAGGTTTCGCTTTTTATATGCTGTGAATTGGCAGCATAAATCTACTCTCTTTAAAAAAAAGCACTTTATATGTAATATGTACAGTTTATCGCATCTGAATTTAGAGAAGGTATTCGTTTTGAAATTAAGAAAGCTAAATTTAGGTGTGTGCATATAGGTGTCTATATTTAAGCTAAATATCTAAGCTCCCATTTTAGGCAATGGAGATCAAAAGCTCTGTCTGGTTGCCCATGCATCAGCATCTATAATCATTTGTGGTGTCCTAGGGTATCTGAGATATCTGCTAAGACTGTCTTCACAGAGGACCGCTGGAAGACCAATTCCCTTTTGAACTGGCAGGTAAAACTCAGATGCAATATCCTTGAGTGTTTCAAACAACACTAAACCTCTGTGTTGTTTCGGGATGTGAACCAAGCCATGAGATCAAGTCAACATGGCCAATGCGGAATTATATCTAGAGAGTGGCTAAACAGAAGACCGACTTTAGTATGACCTTGTCTTATTGTGAAAAAATAGTTCTTTTCCCAGGATAACTCAGTGTTTTGAATCCCAGCAGAAGAATTCATCCTCTGTGAACTTTTGAGGCATGCTGTTATGTAGATATGTGCTTGTGCGCAGCGTTTCCTTTTGAGTATCTCTGTATGACTCTGTTCCATTGACTCTCTCATAATCAGGTAGAACAGTATTGATTTTTTGCTGAAGAACGCCATTATATTTTTCCTGCACAGGGCTCTGGGAGGAACACAAATACACGAAGAGGTTTGTTAACATAAAACTCTGGGGCTATTTTAAGAAGAAACCTGGATGTAGTTTTATGAAGATTTCCTTCTTATAAATAATGCATAGGTAGTCTGCTATGTCATGGAGCTCATTCATTCTTTTAGCTGAGGTAATTGCCAAGAAAGGAACACATATTTACAGGTTAAAATGGCATATCCATCACCTTGGATAAAATAAGATTTAAGATCCACCAGTGATACACTCGACTCCAGTGAGAGCCTTTATGAAGGAGCAGAAATCTTGGCACGGTAGCCAAATGACACTTAGAGCAGCCAGACATGTTGGTGTAGAACCAATCGGTTCTAAAAGGCAGAAAATAGTCCAACGTGTTGTGTTTTGCATAGCAATGAAGACAAAATTATGCTGATTCACTCAGAATGTGAATTTTCTCCATTTTGAAGAAAAATGGATGTTATAGCATCTTTTCTGCTGTTTTGTGAGTTTTCCTTCACTCCCTGTAACAAGCAATCTCTGCAGATGTCATTTACTAAACATTCATGTTGTTAAAATGGAGCAGATGTAGGATTTACTCTTTGACTTGAAGCAGGAAACACAGAATCAGAGGTAAAGGTAATGACAGCTTTATGGGAAGATTTTGAAGGTCCAGATCCCAGTTTGTTTTGGTTAGGATAAAGCTATTAAAAATATTACATGGATATGTTTTGACCCTCTGAATATGAGTCCCTGAATTACATCTATGAGGAGAATAAGAATGAGGTGAATATCTCCTCTGACTAAATCTTAAGTACAAACAATATGTAGAATATAATGCTCTTACCTGAGAAATAACCAAGCTACTGCTGAGCATGGAGCAGCTTATTACCTGGAGCTGTACTAACTTTGGCACTGTAATGTTCAAATATCAATGAGCATCACTGATGAATGACAAAGAGTATTATTTCAATAATGCAGATGTTAACGTATCTCAGAAATTACCAGGGGAAACCCAGGGTAAGTCTATGGTAACCTGATTGTTACCAGAGGCAGCCCTCAGGCAACTCCACTGAAGTTTGGGTGGACCTATATCACAAAGCCTACTCTTAGAAAATGCAGAAGTGTTACCTGGCATCTGAAACAGACCAGACTGGCTCTTTCTGCACATGGCGTGGCTTTGGTTTGCAGAAGGCACTCTGTCAGAATGGCTGCAGATGTTAAATGATGAAGCTATAGATGCTGCTTTTGATGATCTTCAGCCCGTTCCTTTTTTGGAGGAGGGAAACCAGGCTCTGATTCAGGGCACATAGATTCCTCCACCAGAAAGGCTTGTGGCATGACTTGCTAGACCACTGCTCCTTTCTGAAAAGCATCTGCAGATGTTGCAGCTGTCAGGAATGTGACTCTCCTTGAGGCAAAATAAGGACCTCATATGGATGTCGTTCAGGGACGTGACAGCCTCACAAGATGAGCAGTATTATTTGCAGCCTAGAGGTTTGTGGTCAGACTTTTTGAACAGCTGGTCCTGAATATACAGATTGCAGAAAAATACCAAGAAAATAGAGGATTCCAGCTTCAAGATGAATTAGAGCATAACGCTAGTACCTAGCTAATGTGAACTTTGTTAAAATAATCAACTCCTATCAGCAAACAAACAATAAATGTTGATGGCTGAGAGCTGATGGAACAGAGATGCTCCATTTTATGAAGTGATCAGAATTAGGATATGACTGTGCCTATGTGTCCTTGGTCAGAAAAACAAAGACAGAAGAGGTACATGTGGCACCTCTATAATTCTCTGTCTCAATGATATCAATGTATGCCCATCAAGAGTGGAAGACAGAGGGTTTGTCTCTATTAAGGAAATGAAAGACAAGGTGAGAACTTGAGCCATAAGCCCTGACTGTCCACACTGATTAACTGTTAACTCATTGGCTTTTCCTTGGACTGCCCCAACTAGCTTGTTACAGAATGAAATAGCTCCAAAGAAGGTAGCTCTCAGCAGCACAGATATGAATCAGTCTGTGCCAGTTGGTCTCAAGGTCGGGCACTGGTCCTTGTCCCCCTTTTATTTATCAGTATAGCCATAACCATGAAGACTATTTCTCAGAAGAATAGTGCTGAATAGAAGGTGCATATTTATAGGAAAAAGAAATTGGACAAAATCCTCAGTACTACATCAAGTAAAGAATGGAAAGATAAACCATAAAACTAGAGACTTAGGAAGTTCATGATATATTTTTCTGTTGATCTCTAAAATTGAAGACCTCATCAGTCACATAAAAGCATGCATTCTTCCTTACTTTTTTCTACCTGTTATGTTGAAAATCATACATTATTACTTATTTAATTTTGCCTCCACGTGCACAGTAACGTACAGTAACTGTGTTATGCCAAACAAACACATTTTTCTCAAATAAATTAATTGCTGTTAGTATAATATAAAACATCACCTTGCAACACAAACACAAACTAGTACTGCAATTTAATGGTAATGACCTTTGGAATAGGACAATTTTATAGAAATATTCAAAATAGAAGAGGGTTTTGAATTAAACGAACTCCAGGTCTTCTGCTGGCAAAGAACTTGGAATTAGGGAGTGGTCCTTGATAAAGAAACTGTTCATTGTTACTTGTTTCACTGTTATTTGTTCCATTCATTTGATGAGAGGAACAACAACATCTAACAGTAGCTAAATGGCCCTAAATTCTAGTGAGTGTAGTACAGAGCCTTATGCCAGATATCAACCAGATTTTCCAATGGAAGTAGCTGCACGTCAGTGGTGAAGTATCATCTGCTCTGTGCAGGTGCTGTAGCCATGACTTTTATCAATCATTGCAATGTCATATTCCCATGTGAAAACACACTGACTTGTGGAAAAATGGTTGTGGTTGCTACTTACCACGTTTTCAGCACAGTAAAGTTGAATGCAGAGTGCAAAATTGTTTGAAGAAAAAGAAAATAGTGTGGTTTTTAACATCCTGCCTGAAGTTTTCTGACTGGAGTCTCAGAATAATTGACAAGTGTGGATCTTTTCCTAGATTAGGTCTGCAATTGCATTCCATGCACCCCATTACATCTGGCAAGGTATCTGTCATCTTCACTGAAGCTCTATGTAAGCAGTCAAGTATGTATAAGGGAAAAAATTAGACTACAGATAATTGATTCAAAGTCTGCTCATGTATCATCTTTATAGATCTGATATGACATAGAATATCACAGCACTGAACCCAAAGACTTTGCCGAACATTAAAGCACTTTCATGAGTTAAGACCTGAAAAAGATGGATATAACCTAGGAAAATAAGGAAATCACTTTCCAGGAGAAAAATGGTCTACATATAAAATACAGAAGTTCCTATGCACAGATAGCTCTGTTATCTATGAAAATATAGTAAAATAAATTTCACTGCTATAGTTTGGTTTCTGTTTCTCAAGATTTAAAAAAATATTGGCTAAGATTTCTCTTAGAAGAAAAACTTTGAACTGCAAATGGAATTTCTGTGATTTATTAACTTTTAGAGCAAATAAAATATTTCTCAGGGATAGGACAAAGTCCGCTCTATTGCAAATGAGTAGTGAGATGAGCTTATGTCAAGGTGATGTCACTGGATTCTGGCAGGAAATGCTGTTTCCTGACTAATGGAAAAACTGTGAGAACGAAGCAAGTAAAAAGGAAAATGAAACACACCTGAGCTTTGGGTGAGTTTTTAGTGAAAATATTTTTTGTTTCTTTTTTGAGGTAAGAGCTGAATTTGCTAAGCTTCGCAAAGCATTTGAGAGAATTTGGTTGACAAACTGCTTGATTGCTGCTGCCAAAACAAAGTCTCATCTTGCAGGATGTAGACTGCTTTTAAAACCTAAGTAACTTCATGTAGGTTGAAAGTAAAGAGCCTCTTGAAGGAAACCCTTAGCATCCTGCAGCACTGGGCCCATAAAGAGCACCTAATTTTGGGCTGGCAGGAATAATATTAACCTCAGCCTCCTGTCTTTCACCCTCATGTTTTTCCCAGCTACAGTTGTTTCCTTCCAAGCAATGGAAATTCACTGACTTGGATAGCGGTCTAGCCAGCACCTAACTGATTATTGGGAGATCAATGGGAGATGGAAACCCTTAATACAGAGAACCTGGCAAACCGTTGACTTCAGATTCTGAACTGCAGTGCACTGATGAATATGAAGGAAAAGGCATTAATTGTTAACTCCTGGCTCAACAGCACCTGTAGCTGAATTCAAAGGACCTTATTAATATGGCGTTCAGAGACGTTGGTGATCTGTCTATACACACATGCTAAAAACGGAAAGAAGGAAGCTAGTATCATTAACTGTTTATTTTCATGTCAGGATCCAGACAAAACTCCATCAAACTAAGGTTTAGTAATCAGAGGCTGTCCAACATAATGATATTTCCCTTGAGTGGCTATTAAAGGAGGTTAAGTGGAACGCTTCATGTGTTCACCTCAAAGACATTGTACTGCAGTCTGACCTAGACAGATCAAAATGTGTGTTTGGATGTTAATATGGAAAATCACAGATGAGACATGAGCAGAAGTTATCAAATGTACTCAGCAGGATATTACTTACAGAGCCACCAGCAATTTTCAGCAGTCTCTGTTTTCTCAAACCACTTGCAGCTATTAATTTGCAGTTTACTAAACAGTACTTTTCTCCTTCTCACTTCTGTTTGAAAACTTCTACGCTTGTTTAACTAGAGAAAGGATTCAAAGACAGCCCGGTGAATTGTTGAACAAACAAATTTAAGTTCTAGTGGTCCGGTCGATCTGGTAAAACCTGGATAGAAACTGAAGGAGAAGATTTTCCCCCTGCTTGTGACACTCGGAAAGAGAGGAGGAGTGACTCACACAGTACCTTTGCTGACACCTGCATGCTGTTTTCTTGCATGTTCATGATGGCTTCAGAAATCTTGACATCAATAGGATCCATGACTGATTCAATGTTGAATGGTCCTTCTAATCTCTCCGCTACCAGAAGCATAGCATCTGTTAAAACACAAAGCAGCCATTCCCTTAAAGCAGGGATACCTCCAGGTGCCTCAGACCAGCCAGCTTCCCCAGCTGGAGATGGGGATGGCGACTGCTCTGGGGCAGGCAGCGTGCCGCGGGCATATGGCAGCAGCACTGTGCATATCGGTACGCAGCGAAACCTGTCTCCGCAGTGCCGCTTCCTGACTGCCGAAAATATCTTCCCCTACCACTGCCACCACAGAAAAAGGACTCAAGATTCTACAAGTTAGACTCATAAGAGTTGCCGTAGCATTATCGAGCTCGGGGTAAAATTATTTCTACATAGCATCACAACACTCAAACAGCCCGTGCTCTGGAGCGCGCGCGCTTATATAATCTTCTTCCTGAGAAAAAGCAGGTTGATAGAAATGAATCCCTGGGGTATGTTCTTAGAGTTTGTCTGAGACGATGAAAACTTTGATACGATATATCAGGATGTTATAATTAAAGCAGCTGTTCTTTCTGACCTTAATGATCTCATTTTCTTGCAGTATGAACAGCAGATGAATATTGGATTTCTGCCATAGCATATAGGTATAAACCATGGTTGCCTTGTTATGTTTTGAAAATGTGGCTGAAAATTGTGTGCAGAAAGATATATTCTCTGTATGTTTTGGAACTTAAAAACAACTGTTGGCCTAATTTACATTGGTGCATCACTCCAAAATAATTTTATCTAGGTGTGTTCACTAACAATTAAAAACTAAGAAACTGAAAATTAATTAATAGCAATAGAAAGGTTTTGTTCATACATCATACACCATTTTTATACATTGTCTATGCACAGACACAGATTCATCACAATTTTTGTTGCAAAAGCCATGTCATAAACTTCAATTATACTATACCTTTGCACATCACATATACTATCCCTTTGAACATCACATTTGATCCTTCTCTCTCTTGAGTTAACATTTTAAATTTCCAGCATTTAAACAGAATCCATCTGCAATTTTAACACAATAAACAAAAAATTTCATATGCTTTCTTTACCCCTCAGACTTAGACTCTGGATGCTCTGGTATTAACCAGACTGCCTTCCAAAACCAGACCCTACTTGTGTTTTGCTCTTGTAAGTACCAGACCCATGGCAGCTCTCTCCAGGAGGTGTGGAGTATCCCATAGCTCTGATGATAGTGTTAGCTGTGCCCTTGGCTGCACAATCCTGGGACTCCTTTCCAGCCTGCATCCTTCCTTTCCACAGAAACCTGGCTGTGTGGACATATGGGAAGAAGAGACAGTTGAGCCATGGATTCCCAGGCACAGCTGGACCTGAGGGTTAGGACACGTTCACATTTTAGATACAGTCAATATGTGCCTAAAAATCCCAGTGAAATTGAAATCACTTGGCATTTGGTACCAAGCACCTTTGAAAATTCGGGTCTAATATTTCACAATACTTTTAGGTTAGAAAGAGTGGATTTCTCGTTATTTGGAGTGAGGCATAAAACACTTGTTGCTAACTGTGAGAAATGATAAGATAGCAGGCTTTTAGTTTCTAACAGAAGTGTTATTTGGGCTGGCATTATTTTTAAATCTTTTTAAATTAAACCCTTTTCAGTTTTCTCTGAAAACTGAAAACAGCACCTAACTTTGACAGAGAAACCAAAACAGTTTTCATACACACACAGATACGCACAGGTACAAACTTAAAGATTCCCACAATAATTTAGCAATTTCTCCAAATGCAAAGAGAATTTGATAGTGTGGTCTGGTACAAAGTATTTTCTTCCTCACAAGTTCAGATGACTTGCGTAAAATATACATGTCTTTGTATATTTGGAAAATATTCCTTCAGTTTATTAACTTGCATCCTCTTGGTTTCTAACCCTAACCCACACTCCAGCGCAAGCCCTTGTTATTCACTTGCACAGTTCTATATGAACACATGCAATATGTAAACCCAAGATAACCGATACGGTTTAATGAAATAAAACCTGTTAGGCTGAATACAGTAGCAATCAGGTGAAATGCAATGGCCTGAGATTTATGAGAGGTCAATCAAAATGATGCCATGGTCCATCCTAGGCATAAACCCTTCAAATCTATAATCATATAACAATATGTACAATGCTTTATTGCATCAGCTTTCTTGTTTCTCCTAAGAACATTATGAATATTATTACAGGAGCAGCTGGAAAGATTTCAAAAAAAATCAAGAGAATTTATGAGTCTCAGTTTTGAAATCTTAATTCTTAAGAACAGACCCTTGAACCCAAAGAAAGCCTAGCTGAGTTCAGGGGGACTCTGTGTGGGTTTAATAATTTCTCAGTCAGCTCAGATAGTATACACAGAGAGCTTAGTTATTGTCTGTGCTATAAAAAACACTAATGATTGGTAGCCATTAATTGACTACCTACTTTTGATGTTGTTAACAAATTTGCACTGACTTATTCAAATATGCACGTTCTTTAATTTTACTTCTTATGTGTTTTTCAAAATCTGCTTTGCTAAGGCTAAGTACTTTTCTTCCTTTTCTCTATAGAACTTGGCAAATAGCTTGCATCTAGTTGAAGGACAAGCGGAACAAGACCTAGGTTTAAGTGATTTTTGCATCATGGGTTTGTTAGCAACTCTGGAACAAAAACATGACCAATTGCTCACTATTTTATCAGCTATTCCTGAAGCTGGAGCACACAGGCTTGCAAAGCACTTCTGAGACGGTGCAGAGCACACAGCATGCTACATTCGCACTCAGTGCTGCAACTTTTGGCTAGTTGTATTGGGTGCATACTGCTAAAAACAGGAGTAGGGACTTTCTGGGACCCTAAGCTGGTAAAACCAAGCCTATTACAATGGCAGGGTGTAGTCCCACGGAATGACTTGCCATGAAACATCACTGTTCGTGGAGCACAGCGGCTCTACGGAACTTACGCAGTATTCTCTTACCCACACAAAGAAATATCATGGTCTTTTTCTTGTGGCTCTTAGAAGGATGCTGTTTCGGTCTAAGCAAAACATAAAAGAGATCCTGAGGAAATTTACTTTGTTTTGGTTTACTTCACAGAAAGCATTAAAAAAAGGTTTTATAGTTGCTATTTTAATGAAAAGCACAGGACACAGCTGGTCATGATGCTAAGTTAATTGTTTAATTTAAAAATTCAGAAAGATGTATGAATTTCAAGATATGTTAATGTTCTGTGAACTTTGAGGATCTCCAAGTGAAAAAATGATTAATAACATAAATAGACAAGAATCTGCCTATATTTCCTGTGAACTACATCAGGTCATTGTCCTTTAGTTATCTTTACACCAAAAGTGATATCTTCTTGTATATGTTACATTTCCTTCAGGGCAGGTTTCCAGAAAGCTTTCTAGTAAATCTCATGTTGAAACAAAGGGAGCAGGGACAAGGACACTGATTTATGAGATATATGACAACTAAAAAAAACCCCCAAACCAGAATGAAACACAAAGTTAAACCAACCAATCCAACCAACTCCCTTTTCTTGCCACCTTTCTGCCATTAGGAAAATGTGAGAGGAGGAAGTTTTCTTTTCTGTGCTTTGCCTCTTGCTCCCTTAAAGACTCAGGGAACTGACAAGGGAAGGTAGCTTTTGGTCTGTGTTAGTCTGGCTGTGACATCATTTTTTCTTTTCATGCACATCTCTGTTAATCTTCTACTTTTAAATTATCAATGAGATCCCACAAGTGGCTTAGCTTTCCCCAGGGAATTCCAGAAAAGCATCCGAGGATGAATGCTCTTAATGCACTGTTTCTTCAGGGAGATGAAGAACGGTAAATTACTGAGAATGCATGCCCTTCAAAAAAATCTCAAAGTACATTTTGTTTCAGGAGGAAGGAAGATCTTACCTTATACTTCCTAGGAGGAACTTTCTAGCCTTATTTACCTGGTCCTAACAATTCACTATGAAGAAATGCGAAGTGCTTATTCACATATTGTCTTGTGAAAGAAAGTAAGGATAAATTTTATTTGGAAAGCTTCAAAGTACTTTATATGTTAAGATTACAGGAAAAGAGAGAAGAATCAGTGGCAAACAGACCGAGCAGCTTATTGCAGTAGAACATGACCTGGAGAGTGGCAATGGCAGTTTTGGAAAAGAATGTAACTGTAAATATACTGGGTTGCAAAGAAATGCTTTTCGGGTGGCTTCCCATTCTTCTGACCAAGGGCAGGAGGAGGTGGGAGTTTGGATTATATTTACTATGTCATGTAGATAAAATACAATGAATTTTCCATTATGACAGGAAATATGAAAAACGGCTACAAAGTCTTCACAGTGTTAAATGTTAAAGTAATGGAACAAAACAAAAAATAAAATTGAAAGTTGAATTATAGGTACATATTGACTTCTAAAAAATATAATAACAATGGAAATGCATCCCTGTAATACTCTGCCAAAACTTTTTACTGCCAGACTATGATTTACTAGTAAAATTCAAGGAGAAGAGGAAAGTCAAACTTCACCTTTTGTTTAATGAGGTGCTAAGAACTCTTTTCTCAGAAAACCAGAATAAGCCACACCAGGGATGCCAAAACTACTGTTTTCCTTAGGGTCCACAGACCCCTTGTCACATTATTATTTGTATGAAAACATTGTGTGGTTCTATTTTGATGTAGCTGAAACGACAGATTTCCTCTCTGATTATCATTAATCTCTGCATAAGTATTGGCATAATAATATTATAATTCTCAGTCCTGCCCCTACATCTTGCTCCTTTTTTTTGGTACTTTGCATCTGCGTAAAGGGGATTTCAACATTCATTGTCTGGATATATGTTTATCTATATTCTGTTAAGATTATCTATTAAGGTATGCAGGCAGAGTAGTACACCCTGGCCTGAGGTTTAGCTAACTGAACAAAACAAGAGAAACTGCTGGACATGGCATGAGATTTTCCTGGAAATGAAAAAATAATGGAGTGGGAAGCTGAACAAAAATCACAGTCAGTGCTGTGAGGAATGGCTGGATTTCACTGACAGTTAAGGGGGGTAATGTGAGCCACTGCTGAGAA